TTGCTATTGCTATTGCTATTGCTATTGCTATTGCTAGTGCTGCTGCATTGCAATATTTTTGGGGAGGGCTTATTTTCAGGGGAGGGCTTATTTTAGCGCATGCGTTCCAAAGCTCAATTGGGCTTATTATCCGGGGAGGGCTTATTTTCGGGAAAACAGGGTAGTGTTTGCTCACTCTCTCACCTCGGAAATAAATTCAAAATTCAGACGAACTTCTCGGAAATCACACCAGGGCAAGCCGGATGAAAAAACCACACTCTCTGTAGCACTTTAGAAAAAAAACGCCGGAGGCTCATTGTGGTATAAAAACAACCCCACTTTTGCTGCGCTGCATGCTGGAACTCTGTCAGGCGTAGCTCAAAACCCAGCAAAGAAGAAGAATAAAAAGGGAGAACGGAGGTGGTTTTTCAGGGCGTCACATTGGCAAATGCATAAAAAGTATTTTTTTTTTAAAAAGCTTGTTCTTTTGCAAGGGTGGGGCAAAATCTGGGGGATTTACCAGGGTAACCCTAAATCACCAATCCAAATTAAACTCGAGAGAAAAGTCAGGGAACCGTCAAGAGTCAAGTGGGTGGGGGGGAGAGAGAGAGAGAGAGGAGGGGAAGGGGAAATCTGTGAAGTTTCTATTTCTAACTCAGCTATCCTTTCTTCTAAAGAAAAGAGGCCATACTTTATTCTCGGGAGGCTGTTGCCATGGAAACTGCAATAACTGTGAACGCTTGGTGAAATACTGACTTCGCTCCCCCCCCCTCCCTCAAACCCACCTCAAACCTTTAAAGACTTCCTCGGCCAACTGTTGTTAGCCCTTCGCTAAACAAATTTGCAAGCCATATTTTCCACATGTTTGCGGGCTTAAGGGGTGCCCGCACTTGACATCAGTGCTATTAAAAAAGCCATTTACTCACTCCCCTCCCACCCTTCCATTTTCCCTCAAGGTAAATGTTGATTGTAATCCACTCCAGGTGAGTTTTCCAGTTAGGACTGAGGAAAGAGTCTGTTTAAAGGATTTCAGAATCTGGAGGGTGCATATAAAAAATACAGACTACTTTTTTCCCCCCTTCCCCAGATTTTAAATTCTGAAAATTGCAGGCAAAATGAAGAATTGCAGTGAAAAGATTTTCCGCTGATTTATTTTTGGGACACCAGGGGGGGGGGGAGAGGGAGAGGGAGGGAGAGAGAGAAAGAGGGAGGGAGAGGGAGAGAGAGAGAGAAGAGAGAATTTGTATTCTGACCAAGGCTTCCCAAGAGTATGAATCAAACTCCTTGTCCCGACAAAATTTTATTAATTNCTGAGTCTGTGCAGAGAATTGAAACAGAAACTTAAGCAGTCTGCTGCTCTGAGAAGTAAACTAGCAGTCTGTCTGGGCTTGTCAGCTGAAGTGAAACTAACTGCTTGGGTTTGCCTGTAACTCTCCTGCATTGTGTTTACTTGGAAGAACCACCTGTTGGTATTGTGCATTTATTCATCTATTCTTATGTATACAAAGAAGTTAATGAATCCTGCTGCATCAGTTATCTGTGTGTGCTCCTGGATTTGATTTTTCTGCAACAAACTCTGACCAAAAAACACCTCCAGCACTTCTCCACCTGTAATCAGCACACAGATCAGCATAGGTTAACATCAGACCAACAATCAAGTAAACAACACCCCAATCACAACACTGCCAAAGAAGCCAACAGCACACAGCTCAACCAAAGAATCTCTAGAATCTTCCCCTCCCACCCAGACAGGCAAGTCGCCAGAATATAAATGGACAGCAAACAGCACTCCTTGCCGGCACTGATGATATTACCCAGTTGGATAATGAAATGTCTGCAAGAAAACAAGCAAGCTCAGAGAGCATCAAGGATCCCAAAGCAAAAAGTATCTAAAAGCTTCTTTAACTTCTTATAAGCACCTGCTTAGATCATTAGTGATAATATCCATAAAGGAAAATATCTGTGGCTCAGGGTTGAAATGAAGGGGTCCTTGGTGTCCTCTGAGCTTGGTTGTTTTCTTGCAGACATTTCATTACCCAACTAGGTAACATCATCAGCAGAGATTAACACCAAGATTAACACCAGATCAATAATTGAGAAACAAACAATACCCCAATCAAGCAACAGCTGAACAGCCTAACAGTAAACAGCCCAACCAAAGAACCTGTAAGACCACTTCTACAAACACTGACAGGGCAACCCTCTAGGATATAAACTGAAAGCAAAGCCCACTCCTTACACTAGCACTGATGATGTTATCTAGTCAGGTGGTGAAACGTCTGCAAGAAACCAAGCAAGCTGACGTCATCAACAGGGCGACAACAGCGCGGAGATAGAAACACGCTGTAAACCCTAAACCTAACTTAACCCCTAAACCTAAACCTAACCCCCCTAAACCTAATCCTAAATCTAACCCTAAACCTAACCCTTAACCTAACCCTTAACCTAACCCTAAACCTAATCCTAACCCCTAACCTAACCCTAAACCTAACCCTAACCCTAACCCTTAACCTAACCCTAAACCTAATCCTAACCCCTAACCTAACCCTAAACCTAACCCTAACCCTAACCCTTAACCTAACCCTAAACCTAATCCTAACCCCTAACCTAACCCTAAACCTAACCCTAACCCTAACCCT